AACCCGGTACAGTTAATGATTATAGGAAAAATGAAAGATACCATAAATAACATTGATATACCTTCTTCTACACTAAAGCAAGTCGTTTCCCCTTTTGGCTTAGGCCAATAAAAAAGGTACGATTAGATTATTAGACGCTCGATTCAGATTTTAAGTTTAGAAAATAAATATTTTCCAAGTTTTTTGCGGGTGTTTTTCATGGCTATGATTTTTCTTAAAACTCTGTATAGAAGCTTTGAGAAGATAATTAAGTAAATCTTGAATTCTTATTCTAAAATAATATCTTTATACAAGGAGTGCTAAAAAAGTCTGAAGCTTTTGATGTCAAAGAAATTATTTTTTTTATTACTAACCTCAGAAATAGTCATAATTCAATCTATTTTTCTAGGAAAAAATTGAATTTCTCTCCCTAGGTGAATAATGAAAATAATTAAAAAATACCTAGGTCAATAATGAAAATGACGTCATGACGCAAGGATATTGTCATCTTTTTATTGGTTTAATTTTAATTTCATACGTTAATTAAAAAAAAAAGTTTTCTGTAGGTACATAGGAAGTTACCATAAGCGGTTGATAGAGGGCAGCACTGTCAAGAAGGCGTTCAAAAAAAATAATTTGAGCACAGATTTTGAACAAATTTTCTTATTTTCTACTAGCAGTAGTGCAAAAAATTCCATATATTCCTCGGTAGAGAAAGTCATTATATACCTTACGCATTATAATGACCAACTTCTCTACCTAGGTATATAATATACTATTTTAATATGTATAGCATTTTTCAAATTTTGAAAATGTTCAACTACATATTACCTATTAGGATTTCATTTGTAATTTGTATGCCCGTTAAATTTAATGTCCTTATTTTAAATTCTATTTCCAGGAAGATTATTTACTTACGTCTAACAATGTTAAGAAAAAGCCCAGCTGACTCCCAAAAGTCTAATCCAAGAAAATTAGCACCATAATATATGATGGATTTGGATAATTCGTAATTCGTTAATGAACCAAAGTCCCAGTAGGATACCGGAGCCATAGTAGCTAAATAGGAAATTAATTATGAGTATGTCGTACTAACGTTACGAACTGTTTTCTGTCCTACGGTATTTTCCAACCTTACTTATGTTCAGTGATTTCAATTATTCGACCTCATTATTAACTTGACTTTATTCCTGGAAATATATTTTATTTTCAAACGTCATATACCAGTAATTTTGTGATCATTTTGACAGGGTATAAGACTCACTTCGATGAATTTTAGCTTGAGCGGCGTATAAATGTTATACTCCGGCGGAGTATACCATTTATACGCCGCTATACATGTTTTCCCATAGCGACTTAAGGTAGTTCACCTGTACATACAGGTATAGGTGCTTATAAAGGTGATCCTTCTAAATATGAATGTCATAATTTAAATTAAAAATGTGCCCTACTTGGAATGAAGATCGTTTGAAAATAAAATATTGTATTTCATTCGGAGTATAAGTATTCTTCATGTGACTTGCACGGATTTGATTTTCAAACTTACAGGCGCGTCACATAAGTATTACGTATAGGTACTCCTAATAAAATAAATACATTAAACTTCAATAAAATCAATAATCGTATCATATAAGAAGGCCAGAAAACTTCAACTGATTCACAAGAAATAAATCTTTTACAAATGTTGTATATTTTTTTTTTTTTGAAATACATCATTTATTAAGCAATCAGTAACCTCGTCAGTAACAAAAATATTCATACATCATATTATACTATTTATACTAAAGCTAACTCAAATTTAGGTTGATTGCCTAACTGAATGAAATGAACTGCCAGACAATGCATTTGTAGCATTGGTACCAGATGGTACTAGAGTTTGATTATACAATGCTATAACCAAAGAATATTATAGCTATAATTTTCTTTGCTATAACTAAATCATTTAAATAAGAAATTCTTGTTTTATCCCACTAGAAATATTATTATATACTAGAGTTTGATTATACAATGCTATAACCAAAGAATATTATAGCTATAATTTTCTTTGCTATAACTAAATCATTTAAATAAGAAATTCTTGTTTTATTCCACTAGAAATATTATTATATACTTGTGAGGCTTCACCAATAGGGTTTCTTAATGCCTAGCTTCTAGCACTATTTGATCTGATGTTGTTTCGATAAACTATAGTGTAATTTTATTTTTATAGGCTATGAATTATTATATGGTATCGCAGGATTGAAGGGATTATATAGTTTATATTTGGCTGCATTACCTGAAAAGTGTTAACATTTTGTGCTCCCATGAACGGAATGATTTTGTTTTCAATATGCTGAATGTGGGCCTTCCAGTTAAGATTTTTATCCTGTTTAACTCTCAGTTATTTTATGCTTTTTACATTTTCTAGTTTTAATCCATTTAGGTCTGGTTTATTCAGTTTCAGATTAACTTGTGGTAACTAACTGTAAGATAAGTTCACCGTTCTATAATTCTATTAGTCGGCGGATAGTTGGCTGACCAATGGGATTACAGATTGCGTTTTCATCCGTCAGATTGCATACCTGAAAGTTTATCAGAAGGTGAATAAACCGGCACTAAGGGATATGTTAACTTGCTGTAAGTTTTTGTTTTTCTGTTGAAATTTTAAATATTATGTACTTTGTTTTCGCCAAATTAATCTTAAGGTTTTGTAGTAGCCGAATAGCCATTGGCTATAATTAGTCGTTATTGTTAACTCGATTTACCAGAGTGTCACAACTGTGTAGTTCAACAAAAACTGCTATTATGATTCTGTTTTTATCCAAGTTGAAATATAGTTAAAAATATCAACAGTGGCACTCAGAGTACTATTATTTTCAAGAAATCCGTATTTATATAGATCATAATGAGATAAATCTTTCAATAAATGATATCACCAGTTTTTTTATTACCATTTCCATTGTTTTGAGAAAAAACATTGATTATGGAGATGGGTCTATAGTTATTTTATTTGTTGTTTTAGTTCCTGATTGGTAGGTATATTGAGCACAATTTAGATATTCCAGACGAAATTGACCGTTGCTGATTGCAATCTTCACAAGGTGTACTAATATATTTATAATGTGTTCTTTCATAATAATTAAATCAATTTTTCTAATTTTATCAAGGCCGTGTGCCGCAATCTTGTTCAGGTTTAATTATATACTACCTAATCTGTTACAGTCCGTAGGGACATAGAATACATTGTAATCGCATTGTGATAGGATTTGGATTTATTAGTTTTGCCATCTTAAAAGAAATAATTTGAACACTCGACCGTTTTAATAATTGATTCTCATTAACTTCTATTGTTTGTTGTTAATATTTCTGAAAAATTTGTATTTATAGAAAATGACTCAATAAAGAATTGTAAAAATAAACTACATTACCTTTCAGTAGATCCAATTTTTGTCTACTTAGAGGAATTCTGGAAGAAATATCAGTGTTTGAAAAACCTGTTGATTCCATATACGATGCGGATCGGAAACAGGCATACATACTCTCAAGAGAATTTGTTTGAATTTTTTAAAAGTAGACGTCCAGAAATTGGGACATTGAAAGGTTATGTCGGATGTAATTTATTTTTTTATTCCTTCGGCATGGTATAGATATTTTTTGAACAGTAGATTCTGCAAAAATATCTGCAGGTTTGGTTTATGCATTCTGAAAATATTTGCGATTTTCTTCTGGTTAAAATTAGAAACATTAGCATTTCTGATTCCAGAACATTGAAAGCATATTTTCTTTCGAGTGGTATCTTCACAGTTCACGATTGCTGATTCCCAATTTTGTGGGACCAAGAAGGAGTAGAATATTTTTGGATGTTGAATATTTTGAGGTATTTTGGATTTTGATTATATTGAAGCATTTTGGTTGGGGTCTTTTGAAATTTGAATTTTTTTTTTCTATTATATGCAAAATGGCGTTTTTAGTGGTATATGTTGTAAAATACGCCATCTAACCCTTCTCTGGTTCCAATAAGAAACTATAGTATTTTTGGTTACCAGCAGAAAAAATTATCGTTATTCCTACGTTCTCTACTTTCAAAAAGTACATAGGAATACCCATAACAGGTATAATTCTTGGGAATACTTCCTGTGTATGTGTCGTAGAAAAAATGTCTTTTGAAGGTGAATATAAGTTGGGTCTCAAATTTAAACGCATGTTCAATGCAGGTCCCATAGGCTCATCTTCTGACCACAAATATAGTTTTCTCTGGTTTCTGCAAAAATTTAACTCCCAAATACCCTGTCTGTAGGGTAGGCCCTGGTGACCCTCGACTAGAGACTGGGACGGTATAGTTGATGCTTTTTAAAAGCCAACATCCGCTAGTCTACGAGGTGAAGAAGTCATCCGGGTTAATTCAATGGAAGAGATCATTGCCTAAGAAAATTACACTGCGCTGATACAAGATGGAACTTTTTTATGTATTCAAAAGTAATTTACCGTATGTCGAAGTCAACTCACTGCAATTAACCAGAAAAACTGGAATATTTGAAAAAAATATAGTTATGTCTGGTTTCAATGAAATTAACTTCCAAATACCCTCTCTGTAGGGTAGGCCCTGGTGACCCTCGACTAAAGACTGGGACGGTATAAGTTGATGCTTTTCAAGAGCCAATATCCGCTAGTCTACGAGGTGAAGAAGTCATCCGGGTTGATTCAAGAGGATATCATTGCTTATAGGATAACAGCACTCTGCTGGTACAAGAGGTAACAGAAACGTGGAAGAAGTATTTTGAAGCAATTTAATGTAGGCATAGTCGAATTACTGCAATTAACCAGAGAAAATAAATTTTGAATTTGTTCAGAATATTTTTCATATAGTTTATTAATACATAGGGACAATAACAGTGTACTTACAAGGAGCATTAGTGTTGCCAACTGCTCTTTGCGAAATTACTGGCAAAAAGAAAAAGTCGAATTGAGACCCTATTTTCAAGGTTATATAGTTAAGAAGATACTTTTAACTATTTTGAAACTAATTTGAGGTTGAACTTATCTTAATTGAGAACAGAAGCAACACTGCCTGATGGTTGTTCTGTAGGCTCTAAAGAAGGTGGTAATATCTTAGGTTCGCTATCGATTTCCTCTTCAGGAAACTCTGGATCAGGATTTTTCTCTACAGGTAACTCCAGATAAGGTTGATATGTCGAGTTTTTGGAAGTAACTGGTTGATTGAGGTCTTCTATGGTAGATTTCTGGAGAATGTTCTTGGCTGCCTCGCTCTCTTGAAACACGTCTGGATCATATGGATAGATTTCTGTTTTCTCAAAACCCTTGATGATATTTGTTGGGATAAATGCTTTAACAAGGGCAGTTTTAATAATAGCCCAAACAGCACAAGGTCGTTTTGAAGACGTCTTTAAGATGTCTTCCGTAGATTTTCAAGACGTCTTTTAGATGTCTTCCGACGCTCGATTGATGTCTTCAACTCGTCGGATGTTACAAAATGAGACCCATATAGCCCTGGGGCATAACCATTAAGATTCAGGATTTGGTTAAGAAAAAACTAAACAGGAAACAAATCCTGGATAGTACCTAATTGTTTAGTAGGTAAAGGTTTGTCAAAAGGAAATGATACTTTTTGCCAACATTTGGGTTTTCCACTAATAACTTCCTAAAATAAAAACTCTCCATCTTAAAATACGGAACTTAGGAATCCTTCCAAGCACTAAAAAATCACTTTAAAACACCACAAAATAAACAAAAAACAGTTTTTTCATAAAAAAATCACGGTTTTGAATTGAAATTATGGCGCCAATCTCATTGCTTGTCGCCTGGCATAAGCAGCCATTCTGGTTGGATTGCTCTATTGTTCCTTGGTGGGTAATGGGAGTTTCCCCTTTCTTAAATTTTCATAAACCGTAACAATAACCAAGTTAAATACCATAATATCTTGATCATTCGCTTAAAATCACTTTATATGTGATTTTACAGTATTTATCTTTCGAAAAGAAATGTTAAAATTTTTAAAAAAATTGAAGTTGTAGGCTAATGTTACCGAAATAAGCGAGACATCTAAAACAGTTATTCTTGATTTGATCCTTAGGGAAAATAACATTGTAAGATAACTTGTATCTATTTATATATTTAAAATAAGTTTTAAAATCTCTATTCGCATTAAAAAATAACTTTTCAAATAGACTTTTCACGTGAAGCAAAATGATGAAAAATGAATAGCGTTTCGTTTCGTATAAATCATTATGAGTGAAGATATTTTAATTTGATTTCAAAAATGCTGAAAATGCAAAAGTATAATTTTGTCTTTATATTTAAATTTGAGACAAACCTCACTTGAAACCTATTTCTAGTAGTGAAATCACTTAAAGCTAATACAGCAATATAAAAAATGAAGATGAGTAGGTATACTTGAACGACATATTATTCAGAATAGCATTGAATTCGTAAGATGAATTTTGAAAACCAGTGTAAGTAGAGTTCTAGCAGATTCGTACATGTGTGTACCATTGAGCGGCGGCTAGCACCGCTGAAATTGGAAAATGATAATTTAATTTTCAGTGGGACATTGCAAGAGCCAGTATGGTTCTTATAAACTCTGGTTATGGTTCTTATAAACTCTGTTGGTTTTTCAACTATCGTATTTTCAGCAATTATTTCACTTTGATCATCAATTTCTTCCATCTTAGGTATATCGAAGAAATTATTAGTGGTGAAAAATTCTTCTAAAAGTGTTATTTCGAAAGGTTCCAGAGTATTTAACGACGACTGTGTTTTTTTCCAGCAGTTCTGTTCCACCATGTATTAAAAAATACCTACATAAAATCTTCATTACCAATTTCTTTTGGAACATTGAAGTCAAGGTTGCCAATTCGTAGGTAAGTGCTTCTGGCGATAAAATTTGGCATTGTTTTAGTGAAGACTATCATATGTGTTGAAATCTTTCCAAGCGCTGCAAACTTATTGATGTCTGTTTTTTCTGTGTAATCTCAAGTGCGGCACACGCAATGAATCACCATGAAAAAATTTATCCATATATTATACAATCATACAAAAAAAAAACAATTCTTAAATATCTTGTTTTTCTGACTCAGATTATGTATAACTTTCTGTTCCAGAATGTCATAATAGAGTCTGTTTTTCAAATATCCCCATAAAAATATATCCAGTGGAGTCAAGTAGGGACTATTCGCGGGCTACCCACTAGGTCCCTATCGGCCAATCCATTGGTTATATCTGGCATTCAAGAAATCTGTGACGGGTTGAACATTGTGTGGTCGTGCCCCACCTTTTTACCAAACTATTCTGTATATTTTCTTATGGGCAATTCTTCCAAGAGACGCTGAATTTCGACTTCCAAAAAGTTAAGATATGCTTCCCTGTTTGAATTTCGCACCGCACATGAGCAGACCGTCGTCATTGAATTTTTACCTCCAGCTTTTTATGTGGGTTCAAAGTTGCCCATAATATCGCCTATTCCACCTTTTATACATGCCAGCAGTTGTGAAAGTGGCTTTATCCGTGAATAGGATCGTATTTAGGAAACCAGGATCAGCCTGGTTCAGGATTATCTGCAAATGATTAAAATTAAGAGGTTATCAATTGACTGTTTTTTTTTTGTCTTTTTACCTTCATACACCAATAAAATTTGAAGGTCCTCTTCATCATTCCTTGTAACACATATTTTATTTTTTTTTTCCTTTTAAAGTTTTTCTGTTCTCGAACTGCTTTATAATGTTTTTAATGGTATTTACCCACGGTGTGGCTCTATTGGGAAATAACTGATGATACTCACGTGTTAAAGTTGTTAAAATAACATGGACGTATACCATTCAATTTTTCTTGTTCGCTGTAACGTAACCCATCTTTAGGTTATATCCCTTCAAAGATATTTATCGGTAATTTCCACATTGAGCTTTGCCTGCGTTTTTAAAAATGACAGCTATGGAGGCATCTCTAAGTTCGGCAGGTATGGTCTCATTACACCTATATGCTCCTTATCAGGATGATGGTTTGGGCACTTAGCGTGGGGCCTCCTTGTTTGAAGAATTCAGCAGGAATGTTGTCAGTACCAGCTGACTTATTGATCTTTAGTTGTCAGATTGCCTTTTCAACCTCGTCTAGTCTAGGAACCTCGCTCAGTTCTTGTTGTATAGGTTTCTGTGGAATTTCGTTGAAGATGTCATCATTAATTTGTGATTCTCTCTTGAGTAGTTCCTGTTAGTGTTTCTTCTAACGAGAATTAATGGAGGAACTGTCTTTCAGCAGTCATGTGCCATTTTTGGATCGTAGGGGAAAGTCCTTGAGTGGCTGGTCCGTATACCATCTTAGTAGCCTGAAAGAAAGCCCTGGTGGTGTCGGATTCAGCTAGTTGCTGCATTTCGTTTGATTTCCTTCCATTCGCCTTTAAACTTCTGCTTTTGCTTCCTGGTATTGCCTTTTTTCTACAGTCGAACTGAGGTCGCTTTTTCATGAATTATGCGCTCTTTTTTCCTTTCTATAAGATCTTGGACTACTGTGTCATTTTCATCAAACCAGTCTTGATATTTCTTTTGTTATGTAGCCGATTATTTCCTCCGAGGCAGATGTTATTGCCGTCTTCATTATTGCTCAGTGCTCCTCAATGCTTTCTGGGTACTCTAACGGAAGGTTCTGGTTTACAAAGGCTTGGAAGTTTGTCCTGATATGATCGTCTTGAAGGCGTCCATGAATTTGCGTTTGAACTACTTTTTTTGACATCTACGCTTTGCTGGGATGCGCAAGTTCATTCTGGGTCGTATCAGCTGAAAGTTAGTCCAGCAGTCATCCGCACTTGTTAAAGCTCTCGTAATGCATACATAAACGTACAATTATAGAATCGCCAGTGCTTTGACCTAGGGTGTTGCCAGGAAGTCTTGGATTTATTTTTTTGTCTAAAAAGTGTATGGTTAAGTGGGGTAAATTTGATATAGTTTTTGAATAGTTCACATTAAAAAGGTTAAAACTTACACTTTTAATTGAACAAAAAAATTATAAAAATTAGTCAATGCTTCAAAAACGCTCCTTAATTGATTCTAGAGGTAACATTCAATTAGCTTCTTTCTGGAAAATGCTATATAATTTTTTTTAAAACGATGCTGGTATATCACATTCACCCCCCGGAGCAAATGTGATAATAATAGTGAGTGCCTCCCTATAAAAAAATATAAATGAAATCGAAAAGAACTAATGTATAAAATTTGTAGTGTTTTCATTATTTTGCTTTTCACAGAATCAAATTAGGTCAGTCAAGCAGAAAGTTATTAAGTTATTCAATACAAATTCAGTACAAGCAAAAACCTAAACTGAAAACAAAATAAATTCTTTCCGAATAGAACAAAATGATAAATCAGATTTTGCTCGGATAAATTGGGAGTTTTTGAATAATTTTCACGCTGTTTGCCATCGACATTAGTCTGTCGCATTCTTTCTTGGAAAGTTTTAGGAAATGGTAGCCTCCTTGTCACTTTGTGTTACTTCTCATATTTAAATTATTGATAAGGATCTATAAAACAACACGTCAGGATCTAACACAACGCGCCGCGCGCGTGCTTTTTGCGAAGCCAGGCCTAGGAATTCCACCCTCTGGCCGCTACGGCTACCACCGCAAGTGCAGTATCTAGACGTAGAAGTCGTCGAGCTTTCATTTCCGATTATTTATTTTTTTTAAATAAACGTGAAATTCGTGCTTGTTTTAAGATGAATTGTTTTCTCTATAGGAAAGACAATGGAGTTGTTCAGCAATTTTCTAATGCAGCGTTGAAAAAGTGCATAAATTTTATTCCTTATCGTCGTGAGAAGAATTTCAAATACAAATATTGTGAAGGACTGCTTTTGTAATTTTTTTTTACTTGCAAGTTTCCTATTGACAGGTTTGTTTACAGAATCGTGACGTCAAAAAAGGTAGCCATCATGGAAGTATTGTTTTGGCGGGAAATTTTTTATTTCAAATTTAGTATTATTTTTTGTGTAACAAGAGCGGTATCAGTTAAATAAAAACTGGTCATATAAATATTGTGCAGTATACACTATCGATTTAAAACAAATTTGGAAAATTTTACTTCACTTGCAAGTTCCCTATTTTCAGTGGTTAAATTCCCAGAGAAGAGAAAACCGGTTAGCAAAAATCTGTCATTAGCTGACCGTCTATTCTTCACCGATAGACTATCAAAATTTATATTTTGAAATTTAGTTAGGAAATGTCATCTTTTTGACATTGACTTTAGTTGTCAAAAGTTGTTCATTTTAACACACACGCCAAAATAAGCAGGTGTTCTAATACAGTGTTAAAATGAGATCT